TTTGTAATGTACTGTCAGCTTTAGGGAAAATTTAATGCTTATAGGTGACAGTGAGTCCTGTAATCCGATGCGCCTTATATATGGTGTTAACAGTCTCTTCATAGTGCCCATTGAGTTGTTTCTCTGTTAGTCTTCCTCTGACATCTCGTGGTGATTATGAGAGAGAAACAATTGTAACCTAAAATGGTTCTGCTTGGCACTAATTGGCATGTGCATCCGCCAACACACACTCACAGACAACAACTTTGGGAGCTCTGCACAGCCATTATGAAACGAAGATGATACCAAAAGCATAGTTAACTACTGACTCAACGAAGGACGAAGGAGACAAGCAAGACTTCTTAGCCCCTTGTGGATGTGAGCCCACGAGTTTTGTGTGCCTTTTTGTTGAAGCACTTGTGTTCAGAACTTTTGTCTTTCATTTATTGTTTTGTAATGCCATTTGTATTTATGCCAAGGAATAAACCCTGTATTTTCATGGACTTCGTTTCGTGCTTAATGCGACATTCGTGAGGGAGCTACAGTACATACGGGTCAATATTCAGATTTCTTGGAGGTAGTATTTTAAATATTCTGGAAAGTGCTTTGTTACAGCTGCAGCGGTTGTGAAGCGAATAGGTGAATGTTGAACTACTAATATGCAGGGGTATTATGAGATGAGAGAACCAATATTTCAAGAATAAAGTTGCATGTTACAAGGGAAAAAAAAGTAATTTACTGCACATAAAGTCTGAACATTATGAAAATGCAGTTAAAAATATCCAGAGTATAATGTTATGTGTTATGTGAAAAAAGTCTTACTTTAGGACAAAAAAAGCAAGAAATTTACAAGAATAAAAAGTCTTACGATGGCATGCCAACATTCTCTCAACCTACATTGTTATTGCAATTTACGATTGTTTCCTTGGGATTTTGAACCAACTTCTCTTAATTGTAACGTGATTGTATGAAAATAACCCTTTCACTGTCCACTCTAGTAACTACTGTCCCTGAAATGGGTTAAAAAAAAAAAGAAAAAAAAAGAAAACTGAAATTTCCATTCTGTCACCCTGTCAATCAAAAGTGGGGGTATTGCTCTCAATGATGCCAAGTTGAGGCGTACCGCACGCTTTGCCTCTTCATGTCCTGTGGATTTTCACTTTTGTGACGGGGGGAAGGAGTGGGGTCGCTGTGGTGATGTGTTATGTAAGGAGCACAGGAGGAAAGAGAGGTGGTGGGCGGGGGTCCACACACACACCGTTCATGCTCAGGCTTATCACCCGGGGGCCTCTGCAATGATCTCAGCAGTGCGACTGATAAGAAACACGCCTCTCCCTGTGTGTGTGTGTGTGTGTGTGTGTGTGTGTGTGTGTGTGTGTGTGTGCGTGCACGTGTGCGAGAGAGAGAGATAGAGACAGAGAATGAGAGATGGAGAGGAAATTTGAGCGTGTTTGTGTTGCTGCCAGTGCGAGCCAGCTCGGAGCTTGTTTTTCCTCTTTGTGCACACTGTTTTCATCACGCTTACAAGATCAATATAAACTGGGATGGATGGGTAGCAAATACGAGTGGCATGCAAAACGTGCCCAAGTACAAATAGAAAAGCAGGGAGAAGAACGTCACGATTGCGGGAAACATATTGATGCTGTGCATGTGTGTGTGTGTGTGTGTGTGTGTGTGTGTGTGTGTGTGTGTGTGTGTGTGTGTGTGTAGGCTAGTTTGCCATGGTGGGGATTTGAGGGGGTTGTTCTATAAATACACCCGGTGCTGGAGGAGAATCTAGGCTGCTCACATACTAACACACGCACATACACGCACAGAACGACACACATTTGCACACACGCACGCCAACATACAGTCCTGACAAAATGCTCAGTGAAAACGAAGAGAAGACACGCTAAAGCAACCCCGAAGAAGGAACGATTTGGAATTCGGTTGACGTGTTTCAACAAGGGTAGCACAGTGAACTAGTGGTTAGTGCATCCATATCACAGTCAAAGAGTCTCAGGTTGGAATCTTAAATTTGGTTGTGTGGCTTTTCTTCGCTTTCCTCACACAATCCAATGCATTTGAAGACTCTATGTCAGGGATGGGCAACTGGTAGCATGGGGAAAAATGGGGGGGGGGGAATTTTTTTCTGACAACTCCCCCCAAAAAAATCTTCCAAAAAAATGTTCATAAAATTCATCATATATGTAACAATAATTTTCCATGAAAAATGGGGGAAATAGGCAGGGGGGACCACGAAAAATCCAATCTATGAAAAAATATTGACAAAAAGAAAAGAACAAATCTGTAAATATGCTAATCCACGGGTACCACCGCAAATAAAATGCAGGGGTCAACTGTAGTTTTAAGATGTAATATCACCAGGCACCACTAGATGGCACACATGTCATAGTTGCACTGACTGGGTCTTATAATGCCCGAATTAAAAAGTGATTAGGCCTAATCCTTTCTTGTGGATTTGGAATGATATGCAGGACAAACATATTACCTCAATTATATTCGAATTGAGTTAGTTGATTTTTGTGAAAAAAAATGCACAAAATGAGTTCTTGCACATAATGTTGGTTTCTTGCCCAGCGGTTTTGAGTCAATTTGAGAGCCTTTTGTTTTTTTGGGTTTTTTTTGTTTTTTTTGCTTGAAAACCTTAATTGTTGGCTTAGAATAGTAGATCTTTGAAAATGCATTGAAAAATGTATTCAGAAAAATTAATGATATTAAGTGCACACAATTTGCACATATTTTGTCCATATTTAAAATGTTATTGTCATAAAACTGATCAGGAATCACATAGTCCTATGCGGTCCCTCAGTTACCCTCCTGTGTTTAAGTTGCCCATCCATAGTCTAAATTGTCCGCAGGTGTGAATGTGAGTGTGAACTGTTGTTTGTGCCCAGCAATTGGCCGGTGACCAGTTTAGAGTTGCACCCTGCTTCTCTGCTCAAAAGACAGACAGGAAATACTTACGGTGGTGCAGCACATGAAGACGATTATGAAGGTACCGATGATTCCACCGATGCCAACGAGCCAGGTCATCCTGAGAAAAAGGATGACGCCAAAGATGTTCTGGATGCAGGGCAGGTAGACGCCCATCAGCGTGCCGAGCTGGGGGGCCTGCCGGGGGACACAATCGATGCTGGGGTCAGAAGAAGTCAAATATACAAAAGAGAGAAAATATATGGCAGATGCTCGCCTAGGAATAAAATAAATAAGTGATTCAAGATTTTTAATTTATTTTCATATTTTTCTGACTTGATAATGTTACCATTTTAGCTTCTAAAATTCTGGTATTTTGCTCAACCTTGCACAGGTAGAATGTAATGGGGCTTTTGTGCGCCACTGTGGCATGCAAAATGTTTCCTCTAATTTTCCTGGCGTCCGAGAGTTCACACAAATTCCCTGAGCATTCTTTGGACCACAGTGAGCAAATATCAGACATGCACACAGTGACCACCAAACGAGTTTCACACCTGTCCCAAACCGAGATCTTAACAAGGTACATGATTTAGGTATGTTACAAAAACATTCAAACCTATATCAAATCAGAACATATAATTGAATAGATTGGAATACAGATATGTGGTGAATGTGTGTGCATGTGTGTCAATGGAGTAGAACAACTGAGTGTAGACCTTTGGTCACACTCATAAAACTGTAAGGTAAGTTGGAATGCTGTGGTGTCCTCTTCGTAGATTCAACTGGGCTAGAAAAGAAGGAATGAGTGTAGAAATGTAATGTGCATGCGTGGTGCACACCAGCATCTCCGTGGGCACTGAGAGTGTGAAAGCAGTGCACAGAGGGAACATTGGATGGAATTAGTTTTTTCCTGGCCAATCCTAGCTGCATCCCTCAAATGCATCAAAATCAGGGCGTTCCGGGCGCAGTGCGCCCGAGTATACCGTGCTTGACATTGTTGAAACAGAATGATCTCTGTCCTCCATTTTCATTTCATTCCAAGCTGCTCATCCTCACTGCCACACTGTAATCAACCACTCATATTTTTCAATTGACGGGTCCTTGTGGAGGAGGGTGGGGTTAAGATATGGGCTCTTACACATCAGCCGTCAGATGTTGGCTTGTATCGCACTACATAAAAACAAATCTGTCGCAGCTGCACAATGCAGCTCATGAAGAGGTCGGGTTCGATTGTTTTTTTTTTCTTTCTTAGTAATTGTGATCTTATCCTGAAATATCAAAGTGGATGAATGCGCTATATTTAGATGCTTTATTCAAATTAAAGCGGATCTGGGATAAAAAAAAGAAAAAAGGCTGTGACACTGGCAGCAGGCGAGGAAGTGTATCTATTGTTAGGCTTTTCGAAAAGGAAACAAAGTTAAGTCAGCATGTCAAGATAGAATAGAAAACACTGAGTAATCACTGCACATGACTTTTTATGTGCTCTAAAAGATGAAGAAAATTGATATTTATGAAGGTTCATGCACAGGAGAGCTCATTGTAGACAAAAAACAATCAGGTATCACTTTTCTAAAGCAAGGTACAAAGGGCAAAAAATGTTCCTCTACTTCCAATCAAAGTCAGCAAAGACCTGATTATGGAATATCTCTAATTTGTTCAATATTTCCAATGTCACATCCTTACATGGATTTTGGTTGATCCACATCCTCTGTAATGTGAATGTGACCTGACGTTTGTTCTGTACCCTGACACAAAACACAACACAAGTGATTGTGTTGAATGTTTGTATAATTTGTCTCAAGTCATCCTCGAGAGTGAAAATAACAAGGAAAGGTTGTAACTGCAATGTGCTAGCAGTTAACAGTATTCTTTCTTTCCCGGTGGGATGCGAACAGTCCTGCTGTGATTAGCGAAAAACAAACAAAAAAAAAAAGCGATGCCTTCCAAAATGTTTTGAATTACCGATATTAATAATTGAAAATTTGAAAGTGAAGTTTCAAATTTGCTTCATGAACCAGTTATATTTTTGACTCCTTTAGATGGCACTCTTTGTTTGAATATAAGGTTTTAAGAAATGGTGTGTGTACTTTCGGCCCAATTCGGCCCAAGAGTAACATCTCGAGGAGTGAAAAAAATAGAACCAGTTCATGAAGCAAATTTGAAGCTTCACAACACGGTGAGGGCTGAATGTAGTTTGAAACCATACCCAGCGTGCCTTAAGGTTAAAGTGCCTTAAGGTTAAAAATGATTCCGTGTTTTTTTTTGTTGTTAGCTTATTCTTTACCAAAGCGGGAGTATTCATCGTTTGCATTCACCTACGTCATTATTTATTAATTTTCATTGACTCTTTGATTTAATTGTGCACTGTTGGTCTGTAACGGAGCAAGACTTTATGTGACTCACTTACTCATTGATTTGTTCAGTCTGCCACCTGGTGGCAACTATGTGTCATAAGATTGCACAGTGAAAACATCTCTTCATCTAATCAATTATTTCTGACAATTTTATACTGTGCGGGTTGTTGCAGACAACAAATGGCGATAGACACGATAATTAAAAAAAAGACACCCTAAACTCATTTGTATCGTTGTCACGATACATATTGTCATATCGCTCATCTGTACATCTAACTTTGACTAACCTTGGCTAAACTTAGCTCTAAGTCAAGTTCATTCACTTCAACATACTTTGTACCTCCTGTGCACAAATGACTACTTTCCAGTCACCTGTGGGTATGACATCATCTTATGGTATTTTAGGGGGTTTCAGAAAGGGCACAAAAACAGGAAGTAGATTTTTCCAGTGAATTGCTGAAAATAGATTAGAAAAATGTGAATGTTGTAATTTGTGAAGAGTGAACCATGTGTAAGCAGACCCTTGCAGATTCTCTCTTCATCCTGTCTGGGGTCTCAGTTAAGATGTTAAAAATCAGGATGTGCATACCACGCCTAATTAAGTAGCAGATTAATCACATTTGAGCAAAAAATAATCATTAGGGTACCACGATAGGCGGGCTATTTTGATAAAAAGATGAAGCAAAAGATGTGTGAATACGGTTAACAGAGAGGACTATCATAGACGTAAAGTCTGATAGCAGGAACCTGGTTCGACATCCACAGAGTTGGCGAATGAGTACATGATTGAAAAGACTCTATATGGTGAAGTAGCTGCAGACAAATTGAACACTTGTGTATGCATTCAATCAGTGAGCTTGGTGGGAGGGAGGGACACGCACTCACACCCTTATCAAAAGTGCTGCTTTTCTATTTTCTTTCAATTGGTGTTTCATTTGCGGACTGCAGTCCTGTTCTCTCTCACACACACACACACACACACACACACACACACACACACACACACACACACACACACACACACACACGCACACACACACACACACACACAAAATAGGTTTGGTAAGCGGGCCGGGAGTCAGCAGCAGCAATGATTTCCCGTGGGAGCTGGCCACCGTGAGCATTGGGAGGGCAGGCTGCTGCACAGCCACAGGTAGGCCAGCAGGGCACCAAATGGATGGCTCAGGTGGGTTAGATGCGCACCCTTTTGGAAATTTGCCACAGCAATAAATTCTACTTCCTCACGCTCTGTCTCTCGCCACAAGCCTCTCACCAAACTGCACTTTCAAGTAAATAGAGTCACATTCAAAACACGAACTCTAAGTGTCATTTCAATGTTGAACTACTTTTAAGTATGGTGTGATTTCACTGGTCAGTCTTGGGTGTTAAATTTCAAAAATTAATGGTTCTGGTTTTCCACCCTGGCTTTGGTTGTGCCTGTGTGCTGCCTCCGATCATGTCCTCTTCCCTCTTTGTGGCATGGCTGTCGTATATATCATTGTCACTTTTTTCAAAAACTACTTTCCATCTGTTTACCATCTCTCGTAAGCATACGTGTCTCACAATGTTTTATTTTTGTCACACCTTGCAGGCAAACAGTATTGCTTCCTATTTGCCTGTGGACATCTACAAAACTGCAGAAATCAGCACTGTTGACAACTTTGGTCCAATAAATAGAGATCGTGGTGAACTCCGTATCCTTGGTGCGCAACGAGGTAATGAGGAAAAAGAGGCCGAAAATGGGCGACTATTTACATCCGCGAGCAATAGATGAGTAGATGCTCCAGAAAGTCATGATGAAATGAGTGCCATCACATTAATGACTTCTGATGGGATTGTTCTGACCAGGAACCTACTGGAGGCCACTGCTTGGATCGCATGGATATGGGGAAGTAACACCTCTGCGGCACATTCTCGTTGGATTTCCAATTTGAGTGAGGGTAGAGGATGTAATTAAATGACGAAGGTATTAAATGGAAGAGAGGCGGGGATGGGGGCTGAGGGCGAGCTTGTAACACCGTCGCCACGCTTGGCTGGACAAACAAGAGTCGAGAGAGTGAATCTGTTCCTGCTCAGGTGTGCTGAATTATTAAAGATATGGCAAGAGAAGAGGCCAACCAAACTCAAACGTACTGAAACAAGCCAACCAACATAATATTTGGTCGGCTTTCCAGGACGAAGCTAACGCAAAAGTCCTGCATGGGAGTCTGATAAAACTGCTGTTACATGATTGACCAAACTCAACTTTTCAGGGGCAATCATTGTACACACTGAAACAGAAATTAATATGTTTTGGACAGTATAAGCAGGGGGATAGCGACTGAGCCCTTCTGCAAACAGCAAAAATCTGCAAATAATTGAGCCCCCCCAAACACGCCCCCCTCCCCCCAACATCCCCACCCAACACGGCTTCAAAATCACTACATTTCTATCAGAGAAGGGTATATCTTGATGAAAGGCAGCTCTTCACCTCACCTCAAATAGGTGAGTTTTTCAACAAAAACGGAGGATAGATTCTAAAAAATCAAAAAAATAAAAAATCAGGAATAGGTGAATTTGCGAATATGCCGGAAAAATGTGCAGTTTGAGTCGTGCGTACGAGCGCCTTAAACTGTATTTAATGCTCGCGAGTTGAGAACTACACGTTATTTCTCCGATGCGTAAGGTGAACATGAAGGCCAAAGGAGAAGATTTGCAAAATGTGGAGCAGGGCATATGCACAATTTATTATTTAAAAGATTCAAAATCCATGTTCAAAGGCTCAGCTCACTGAATGTTTCATGATGACTGAAACACATTTTTTTTTGTTAGTTTGGTGACATAAGAGCTTGGCAAAAAGCCGAA